AGAGCAGGGCCTGGCATCCCTGAGAGTGATTAGTAAGGGGCCGTGTCAGCAGCGGGGAGATTTCTGAGGGTCCAGAGTCAGCTGCAAAGAGTGAAGGAAACAGACCCAAACCTACGCCGACAGAAGGAGTTTTAGCATACACTTACCGTCATATATTCACAGTAAATATAATTTTAGATAGCCACTCAGAAAAATTTCTAGAAGACACAAATCCACTTAAACCCAAGCTCACTGCCATGCAGTCGGCTCAGACTCATGGAGGTCCCATAAGGGGACCAGTGCGGGTTCAGAGACTGCCACTCTTTCTGGCAGCGGAGAGCTCCAGCTTTCTCCCAAGGGGCACACAGAGCAGGGAGAAAACAAGCCCCCAGCTGTCTGATGCTGGACGAGGACTCGGCCACTTCCTCTTTAAAACTAAATACCTAGCACGTCAAGCACTAACAGAAATGCTGCCAAGATGTAAGGCGCTGACTACTGACTTTATCTCTTCAGTTCATAAGTAGATAACTTGAATCTAGAGAGAATGCTGGTCTATGAAAATTAGCCACTAAAAATACAACCCAAAGTGGAAAACCATACCAAATGTCTCTCCATGTCTGACAAACTAGCTTCACTGAAATATGTTCAGATGAAGAAATGAGCATCTTCACTGCCTTGCCACTAAATGTGAGTCAACACTTAATACAAATGAAAATAAAACCAAGCCTTTAATTGGGCTTCATTCTAAAGTAGTTTTAAAGGTGATGGGGACACCAGGTTTCCTTTTCATACTAATCCTAGCCCAGCTTCCAACTGTGTGACCTGGATGAAAATCACCTACCTTCTCCTGTTTCTCTCATTTCCCTTATTTTTGGGGACCCTGTGGCCTACAGGACTGTAGGGTTAAGTAATTTCACTTAAAAATTACAAAAGCAACTCCAGTAGGCCATACCACACTGACTGCGATCTGATCGCACCCATCCAGGTGTGCTCTGTATCTGTTTCTGACCGAGCACATTGTCCATTTCCTAGAAATCACGGAGCATTTCTATTCTTTCCACCTTTTAAACAAATCTCTGCATACCACAAATAATCATCTTAAGTTGTTTCCAGCAGAAAACAAACCTGAGAATGATTTAACTGGACTTTCGATTCTGAAAAACCCAGCATCAAACACAATCGTGTCAACTGTCGTTGGTACCACAGAGTCTGCTGCCTCAGCCTGCTCTTCCTGCTTCATTCTCTGCCGCATTGCATTCTTGATGGCAGCTAAGCGGTTTCTAGCAGCAATTCTTCCACCACCGTCCTGCTTTGGCTTATTTGTTGTATTTGACACACCTTTTTTCTGCAAAGAGAAATTAGGACATTTAATAAGGCCTTATAAGAAAAACAGTTTATGTAGCATATTTCATATACTCCCTAAATGTTTATCAAGTTCATGGCATGTGTGAAAAAGGCTACGTAAAAAAGACAAGTTCCCGTCCTCAGAGTTTACATCTTAGGGAGAGACAGCTAAGGACAGAAAATGTAACAATGTCGTACCAGACAGATAAACGCAGAGGGTTGTGGGAGAATACAATAGTGACATCTAAGTCCATTTTCAGGGCAGGTTTATGGGAAATAACATCTATGCTGAAATCACAGCCAGCCAGGTGAAAAGATGGATGAGGAAAGAGGAGGTTTGCTGGGCTAGGCTAGAACAGAAAACTTAAAGGGCCATAAGTGAAAGAGAGTACAGAGGAGTCAGCAAGAGAGGAGCAACAGCTAGATTCTAAAAGCCCTTGAACGTAATCATTGTAAGAAGCTATGTTATAGAGAGGACAAAGAAAAAGAAAGTTATTGATGTTTTTTTTAAGCAGAAGATTCACATGATCAATTTGGTATTTTGGAAAGATATTATGGCTACAACCTGGAGAGTGGGCAGGGGAGGTACAAACCATTTAAAATGAAGGAGACTATTGCAAGGATACTGGGAAGAGATGATTAGATGAAGGAGGAAGACATGGAAAAAAGTGAAGCAAACTCAAGAGATATGAAGAGGCGACACTGAGAGGAGTTAGTGATCTACTGGATGCGCGTGAGAC